ATATATATATATATCATAAACATGGCCTACTGTGGAGCACAATGGGACATTTTTAAAGATATCATATTTTATAAATGTGGGAAACCTGTCAAGGAATGACCATGGGACAATGCATATAAATAATAATAAATAAAATCCAGCTACAATGTTATTTAAACTGCACTACTTTTCTGTATATATTTAATGTGTTTTAAAAGTAATCACTGTAGTTTAGTTTTAAATAGATAAGCTAAATTTGACATTTTATTTAATTAATAAAATGCAGCTGCAGTTTAAAATGAAAGCCTCTGTACACAACATGAGTTAATTGTTGATGGATTCTATGACTGTTCATCCTGATACCAGTTTTCCTCAAATTGAGTATGAGTACAAGTACTTCAGTTTGGGTCCTTGTCAATACCGAGTACCACGTAAAACTTAAACATTAGACCATGACTTTAAAATCACTTTTATTTAGAACAAGGTGATCTCTCCATAGATCTACAGCCCCTCAGACTGGATCAAATCCAACATACAGAATGATACTGTTGCAACATTTTAAAATAAATAAAACAAAATAAAACAAATAAGATTTTTTTCAACTTGTAATATTTTTTTAAACATGGAACTGACAAACTTTTGACTTGAAATGTAAACTGTAACRCATTCAATTGAGTATCCAGAATCGATACCGGTATCAGAGAGAGACTCAGAGTCGCTGCTCCTCCTCATCGAGAGGAGTTGAGGTGGCTCAAGCATCTAGTAAGGATGCCTCCTGGACGCGTCCCTATGGAGGTGCTTCAGGCATGTCCAACTGGGAGGAGACCCCGAGGAAGACCCACAACATGCTGGAGAGACTATGTCTCTGGGCTGGTCTGGGAAGGCCTTGGAGTCCTCCCAGAAAAGCTGGAAGAGGAAAGAAGCTCAGGCTTCCCTGCTTAAGCTGCTGCCCCCGCGACCCGAATTAAAGTGGAAGATAATATATGGATACCAGTATCAGTCCCAATTAGCAGGGCATTTTAAAGAAGTACCAGTACTTGGGGTCTGATCAGTATCACCACTGTTTTTTATGTCTACAAATGTGGAAAAACCATGTCAGTAAACATCAGTGTAACTGTTATACAGGTCCAGACACCAAGCTGATGCAGAACAGTGGAAAAACAACCTTCAAACGCACCAGTGTCGATCACTTGATGAATATCCTGGTGTTGTGTGTGAGTATAAGTACACAAAAACACAAAAAGCAGGAAGTTTTTCTCATTTCCTGTCAAATGATGGATCTGTTTAAACTGGTCACTTTTAAATGATCGACATTTATATTTACTGGATTCACATGTTTTTTCAGGTGACTTCTATGTATATTGTTACCCTTTATAAGATGTCAAACTTTACATTTCATTAGATTTTTGGGATTCTGGCGACTCTGTGCTCCCTCATGGCAATCGGCCACTCGCTCTGGGAGAACAAGGATGGCTCCATCTTCGCCGTGTTTCTTCCTCGAGTGGAAGGTGTTGATGTTCCTCTGTCGTCTTTTTACTCTTTCTGGTCCTACGTCATTGTCCTCAACACTCTGGTGCCCATCTCTCTCTACGTCAGGTGCTTTTTTTTTAAAGAAGGGAAAGATAGGAGCAGTCAGCAAAACTCCTCCTAAATATTRTTTACTTATGTCTTTGTTTGCTTGAACGTCAGCGTGGAGATGATCCGTCTTGGGAACAGCTTCTACATAAACTGGGACAGGAAGATGTATTACCCCAAAAATGACACTCCTGCTCAGGCGAGGACCACCACACTCAACGAGGAGCTGGGCCAAATTAAATACATCTTCAGTGATAAGACCGGCACCCTGACGCAGAACATCATGACTTTTAACAAATGCTCGATTAATGGCAAAAATTATGGTAAGCAAATTTAATTAAAAATTAAAAAAAAACATGTAATAAACACACTTGAACTTGTCATTTCTCTTTTTCCAGGGGAGCTGTTTGACTTTTCTGGACAAAGAGTTGAAATAACAGAGGTGAGAGGTCATTACAGACATATGGATTTAGTGGTATTTAGGGTTCGTTTTTTTTTTAATCCCAGTTTTCTTTGAAGAAAACCCAGAGAGTGGATTTCTCCTGGAATCAGCTGGCAGATCCAAAGTTTATCTTCCATGATTACAGCCTGGTGGAGGACGTAAAAGTTGGAAACCCGGAGGTGCAGGCCTTCTTCCGCCTGCTGGCCCTGTGTCACACCGTCATGCCTGAGGAGAAGAAAGAGGGTGAGGATCCTCCACTGGTCATGTTTACTGTCACATGAAGTGACTTTAGGCAGGTGGATTTGAAGAGATTCTGTCAAAATGGAATTTCAGAATAACACAAATTGTCTACCTTATATTACACAAAGAGAACTCTTGCTAATTGAGTTTTAAAAACACATAAAGTAGCAGTATCCAATATTTTTTTTGTCCTCGTTTCATGTTTTTCTTCTTCATCTCTTGTCCTGTCTCCACCTGGTAGGGGAGCTSAACTACCAGGCTCAGTCTCCTGATGAGGGCGCTCTGGTGACCGCGGCGAGAAACTTTGGATTTGTGTTCCGCTCGCGCACACCAGAGACCATCACA